TATCCTAAAAAAAGTCGGACAATATTAGTTATGCTGTAATCCTATCATGTAAGCCACATTGTATGCTTTAGCCACATTGATGTTGAAGTATCATTGAACTTTATTTATATTATTTATCAATCTTATTGTCAACTTATTAATCATCATATAATGGTGTTGTGTGGCAGCGTAATGATGCAAGGGTGAAATTATAAGGTCATCTTCATACATAGTTAAATGCGGGATGATACCACAGTTCGCTGTTTCCGACATGAATTTTCGACTTCCGTCCGATATCGGTATATTCCCGTTCCGACGGTTCCGTTTCCGAGATACCGATATAACCGATATCGTTACCGTTTCCGAGTATACCGTTCCGATTCCATTTTCGAGAAAATAAAATGAAAATGAAAATGGTAGAGGGTTTTTCCGACCGTTTCCGACCGTTTTCATCCCTAGTTACGACCGTGAGGCAACAAGAAGAACTTGGCCGGTTGGGCACGTAGTGTAGTGCACCCACGATCGATCCAAATCGCTAACAAGCGAATAGCGCGCGGCCTCCTATGTTTTTCTTTTTTTACGTCTGGCCTTTTTCTTTTGCCGTTTTTCCTTTTTTTTTCTTTTTTTTCCGTCCGTCCTTCCGCCGTTTTTCTTTTTTTCCGTCCGCTTTCTTTTCTTGGTCGTTTGTTCCCTTTTTTTTTGCCGCTATTTTTTTTACACACCGGTTTTCTTGCACGCTTTATTTTTTGTCATTTTTTCCGGTTTTTTCATCTGCTTTCTCCGCCACCTTTTTTTGCACGTGGTGAGGATTCAATTTTTTTTTTATTCACTTGGTCTTTTTGGTCGCCGGGATTTAATCTCCATCTGTCGCCCGGGCCAAACCATAGCGTCGTCACCACATTGATCTCCCCCTGTGTTTCCTCTTTAAATTGATTGTAAAAATTAATTCCCATTACTCACTCATCATTTTCCCCATGATTACCTCTTGCAATTTGGTTTTACTTCACCGGATTTCATCTTTATTTAACCGTCGTCGTTTTTATCCCAAGTTTCATGGATTGCTCCGGTTTTGATAAAACAGAAAAGAGAAAATCAAGTGGATCAAAAGCCATCAAGGTGATGGGAGGATCGAGAAAGATTCGACTAAATTGGATGAGAAGATTGACTCCGGCATCCATACGGGCACTTCCAGAGGTTGAAGACGGTAGTTGGCTGTGCGAGCTAGCCCTACAGCTCCACTTGTGGGCTAAGTTGAAGCGAGACAGGAGCGGAGAGAGAGAGGTAGCGAACTGGGCTAATAAAAGGAAGGAAGTAATAGGCTTCCAGTCTAAATCCAAGAAAGGAGTATAATGTTGTATAGCGAATTAGCGATCCAAAAATAGTTTTACCCGGTGCAACACACATGCATTTTTTCTAGTGTATACGTACGTATACAAATTTTATAGATATAAATATAAAGTTTGTATACGTATACAAACTTTGTATTTATCTTTTTAATAATGGATTTTTCATTAATATAGCCTCTATATTCACGAAGGATATACACAAACAAAATAATACATGAGTTTTTATACTCCAAACCTCACACAAACAAAGAAAACTAAAACACAAAAAACAGAAGCTAGAAGACATAGTTTCCAACTTCATCGATGACTCAAACATTCCGTCGCAGCATGAGAGGGCGAAAAGGGAGAATCGGAACTAGTCCGTGCTGCCCATCGCCGCACCATCTCCACCTTTGCTAATCACAAACAACCATCTACTGCCAACTGAAGTGTATGCTGTACATCGTCACCGTCCAAATCCCCTTACGCAGCCGCTGCATTTCGCACACTCCTAGTGTGTCCAGAAACCACCCTACCACGCCACCACCACCTTCCACAAACCGTCGAATTCCCCACCGCTCCTAGAGCATTGTGAAGCCATCCAGCACATCATGCTAAGCTCCACCATCATTCACACCAATCCATAGCCATATTTTGGTATCGAAGCTCGCTTGGCAGCTGTCACCTCTAGGATACCGCTGCCGAGAGCCTTCGTTGCCACCGTCCTCATTTGCGGCGAGCCAACACCATCCCGAACGGCCAAGCCCCATCCCGAATGGCCACTAGCCTACCGCTTGCCTTTCCATGGTCAGATCCGAGCACAGGAACTCGCCGCCACCGAGAATTAAACCCCGTCGATGCCGAAATGACCACCCACCATCGTCACCATGCACATCAGCTAATCTAGAGTTGCGGGAGAGGGCTAGCCCCTATCGCTTTTTGACGCTGCCAGCCCTCGCCACTGGCGACAGAGGAAGGGACAGAAGACTAGCCCCCATCTCTGCCCAACTCCATCGCCACCTCCCATCACCACCACCCGACCAGCCGCTTCAATAGCCTTATCACTGCATTCACCACCACCACCATCGGAACTCCCACTGTCGGCTGCCCCAGTCGTCCACCTCCAAGGAGGGACCCCACCATCATCATCGTTGCCACTGCCGACCGGAGCAGATGCCGGCCAACTAGATCCGCCCACGCAGCCCCTCTGCCACAGCCATCCGTGCCCTTGAGTTGTAATACCCAGTGTTCTAGATTATGGTTGGGTGAATTCGAGGGTGAATTCGATTGAAGGGGGGAAGAATGTAATACCCCGAGTTTCGCCCAACCATAATCTATAACACCGGGTACGTACCCGGTGTTATAGATTATGGTTGGGCGAAACTCGGGGCATTACATGAGTAGCTATCGCCACGTTCCGACGCGGATCCAAAGCATCGAGACATATGAATTTTGTATTTATATGTGTAAAATTTGTATACGTATGTGTATGGACACGTATTTCGTACCGTATATATAACGTTTATATAATGTTTATAATATATCAAAAGTGTATATGTATACATGTAAATTGGTACATATATAAAAAATCGTATAGATATGTATATAAAGTTTATACATCAATATTTTATATAGAGATAATCCATTATATGCCACTGACTTTGTCGCACGTCTACGATTTGCCACTGACTTTGTCACGTTCTACAATATGCCATCGACTTTTGCTTAACTTCTACGATTTACCATCGCCGTCCGGTTAGCCACCGTTAGTACTGTACAAATTTGTTGAAATGACCAAAATACCCCTATGACAAACTTCCAAAATTTGGATAAAATTATCAAAATATTATATTATAAACATAAGATTGTAAACATCCAAAATTTGACCAAAAACTTGAAATATGATATTTCATAATTTTTATCCAAATTTTGAAACCTTTTCTCCCAGGGGTATTTTGGTCATTTCGACAAATTTGTACAGTACTAACGGAGACTAACCGGACGGCGATGGTAAATTGTAGAAGTTAAGCAAAAGTCGATGACATATTGTAGAACATGATAAAGTCAGTGGCAAATCGTAGACGTGTGACAAAGTCAGTGGTATATAATGGATTCTCTCTTTTATATATACGCATATAAATTACACATATACATAATATATGTATATATAAACATAATAAATTACATATATACATAATATAATATAAACTTTGTATATACGATGTATATAATTTATATACATATGTCAACTTTGTATACTAATGTATATACATAACATACGTATATATGAACAGTACCAAGAGAGGTTCGGGCCTCGCGCGGTGCTGCCCGCGGGAAAAAGTCCACTTTGACTTCCTTAAATATCAGCCAAATCTAATTTGTACCCCCTTAAAAAAAACCGGATAAGATGGCTTTCCAATCTATTAAAACTGATACAATTTGAGAGACTTTAAGGGACTCAAAGTGGACTTTTTTCCTGGCCGCGCGCGAGTGGTCGCCAATCAAGCCCCCATCGCGATTGCTCCGACGCGTGCATTACGTGCTTGGGCTAACTGGCCCGCACGCCGCCACCAGAACGTACGTCGCCAAGGTCGAACGCGAAGCGCATTGGCCCCTGGAGACGTGATGCTGCCAGTGCCACTGGTTGCGCCATCTTGGGGAGGATTTAGCGGCTGGCCCATATGATACGAGGCCGTACATACGCGATCGCGAGCCAGCATTAGGGGCCTGGTCTTTATCAATCGTTAATAAAGACCAAATTGATTTACACAGCCTACTCAAAATACATTTTTCACGGTTGGAAATGGCATTGAAAGAGAACCAAATTTGAGTACAGAGGCGATTAACTGGGCCCCGTTTCATTCTCATGCATGAACTGATTAAATTCGACGAGACTACAAATCAGACATCCAATTTTTTCATAAAAATTGGGGCTGTTTCATGTCTTGTACAATTTTTTCAAGAATTTGAACGATAATTAAATCGTAGCTGAAACATTTTCTTCTTTAGAGTATGAAACATCGAGTTTCAACTATTGAAACAAACATATCTCATGCATGGAAGTAAAATAAAGAGAAAACAATCAAACTAACCACTGCATCATTTTCATTCAACACAAAGAAAGATAAAAAAAATTGGTTGAAAGATGAAAAACAGATAAAAATGTACCGGTCTAGATCTACTTCTTCCTCCTCTTCGTTGCCAAGCTCAGCACCAAGGGCTCTTCCGCTGCACACTGTTGGCGTCACCAGTGGGACCTCGTCCGGAGTGCTATGGGGCCATTGTGCTGTGTTGGCGTTGAAAAAAGGCTAGGCCGAGCTTGTCGCATTGGTGTTGTCGAGGACGAGAGGACATCGTGCTGCGTTACCATTGTGGAATCCAAGGTTAAGTGTTCTGCAGTTGAGGAAGCCGAAGCTAAACTCATTGCACCACCGTCGAGATCAAGATGTTGTCTCTATCCTCGATGAGGAAATCCTAGAGGGAGCGATAGAGATAAGGCAGAGAGAAGGGAATGAGTAGACTACAGTCGAGTAGAGTGAAGACGGGGCCAGATTGTTATTTTGTATCCCTCATCTCAAAAATCGGATAGGACGACTCTCTAAACTATTGAAATAAGTGTAATTTGACTTCTCCAATGGTTATAGATGGTGGTTTTGTTGATGTGGCAGTGTTGATTAGGTCTTCATTCCACATGGTATTTATGTGGCACTAGAATTAAAAAAATATCTGTAGGACCCATCTGTCATTCACATAGAAAATGTATTGTGGGCCCACACGTCATCCTTTCTTTCCAACCCTTCTTCCTCCTCCATCTCTCCCTTATCTCTCTTTTCTTTCCCCCCTCGGCCATGGCGGCTGTGGGAGAGACGACGGGTGTTGGAGCAGCGGCGGAGGCGAGCGGGCGAGGGCCGGAGCGGCAGCGACCTCCAAGTGCGGGAGCGCGGCGTGGCTTAGCCCAAATTGACCGAGCGACAACCCAATCGATTCCAGGAGCGTCGAGCGAGCGCCGCCGCGGCGCCTCCCCCTGCTTACTGCTGCCCTCGCTTCTGCTCCTCGGTCCCGCACCTGCCTCCGCCTTCCCAGTCCGCGTGCTCCATCGCCGCTGCTCCCGCAGCCCCGCGTGAGGCGTCCTTGGCGGAGGGCACGCTGTGGTGCGTTGTACGTCGCCGCGCTCTTGGAGCTTGGTCAACCCTCGGCAAGGCCGGCGAGCTGTTGGTCCGCCACCTCCCCTCCGCAAACCAGCGGGCGTCGCCGCTTCGGAGTTCCTCCCTGGGTGATTTATTTTCTTGTAAATAATTTCATGGAACATATCTAAGTAATTTCTTCTCTCTGTTGATGTTTTCAAATTTTCTGTTCATTCGTATCTACACATTTGTAATTCTGTACAGCATGTACATAATCCCGGACGAGACCCGTGATGGTGCTGGACATGCCGGAATCGTCGCCGGAGGCCTAGCATCCGGGCAGAGCGAAGAAGGCAAGGCGGTGAATCTTGACGCTGCTGCTGCGGTAAAGAGCGATCTCATCATCAGTAGGGAGTGGAAAGCGGAGATCGGGTGAGGGTTTTGGGAGTACGGCTCCGGCGACATCCACCGGAGGAGAACCAGGTCACCGTGCGCTGCACGCTCATCTCCGCAACCACCGTCACCGCCGCGTTGCCTTGGGCCACGACGCCATCGATCCGCATCCGCCTCGGTCACCGTGGGAAAAAGAAGAAAGAAAAGAGAAGAATAAAGAAAGGGAGGGGAGAAGAAAATGTGACACCTACTAGTGGGTCCCACATGCTGAGCCAGCTAGTTAGACTAGATCAAAGCACCACGTCAGCGAAAACATACTCCAAAACTATCGAGGGAGTCAAATTGCATCAGTTTTAATAGTTGAGAAAATACAGATATCCGGTATTACGGTTTAGGGGTACGAATCAAATTCGATCACCAGTTAAGAGAGTCAAAGCGAACTTTTTTCCTTCCTAAGAATGCTATACGGCACTACCTGCTTCAGGTACTGAGATCCGGGTACTCTCCTCGACCCCTCCTTTTTCCCGGGTCTGACCGAACCTGGTCTCCCTATTCCCCGGCCTCATCAGACGTGGAGTCACCTCCACTGACGCCTATCTCTGCTACCGCGCCGCGGGAGGTCACGTTGGGGTGCCCCCCAGCGATCAGATCCCTCTCTCCCTCCACCTGATTTTCTTTTTTTTTACCGTATTACTTTTCTATTTTAGTAAATTTATGCACCTAAAGTTTATACACATAAGTTTACACATCTAAAATTTATACACATAAAGTTTTGAGACCCAAAGTTTACAAGTCAAAAGTTTATATATCTGATTCAAATTTGAATTTGAATTCAAATATTTTTTATATATAGTATTTCTATACATCTAAAGTTTATACACCTAAAGTTTATAGACCCAAAGTTTACAAGTCAAAATTACATACCTGATTCAAATTTAAATTTGAATTATATCCTATTCAAATTTGAATTTGAATTCAAATATTTTTATATATAGTATTTCTATACATCTAAAGTTTATACACCTAAAGTTTATACACCCAAAGTTTATATGTCAAAAGTTTACATACTCGATTCAAATTTAAAATTCAATTCAAATATTAGTTTATAGACCCAAAGTTTATAATTCAAAAGTTTACATACCCGTTTTAAATTTGAATTTAAATTCAAATATTTTTTTATATATAGTATTCCTATAAATAATTTTTTCTAACTTTATTTTTTTTATTTTTTTTTAAATTTATGGTGTAGTAGGAAAAGAAGAAGGGGAGGAGGAAGGGAGAAGAGAGTGTATAGGGGGATACACCCCACCGCACACGCATTGGAAGATAGAAAATTGACTTCTTGGTGTCATAATGTGTCTACCAATGTCATAGCATGCTAATTATACTTACATTATAGTGTTATAATATATTGATAAGCAGTTTAACCATAGGTTTTGCTGAAAATCATTGGTTTCGTCTGACACTAACACTGACATAACACTATAGATCTGCCGCTAGTGCCACACGACGTCTTCACCGTGTCGGGGGATTTTAACCTCACACTATTCAACGAGCTCGAGGCCAAGTCAGTCGGGGAGCGTCTCGTAGGTGCTGCAAGGAGCTCAACGCTGCGGGCGGGGAGAAATTGGACATTCTGCCGTTGCCAAAACTGGGTTTCGCCGAAATGCCACTCCGCAAAATGGATTCGTTAAAATACCATTTTCAACCCGTGGCTACAAGCTACAATGCTATCCGGGACCAAATTGCCCTCTCCTCTGTCCCCATCTTCTCTTCCAACTCTGGCTATCTCGTCTTTCTCGTCCTCCGGCGTGACGGCGCAGATGGGGAAAAGGCAGCAGCGGCGCGTCCGTTGGCTGGCAGCGGTGGTGCAGATGGGGGAAGGAATGCGGTGGCGCAAATAGGGGGGGAGGGTGAAGGCAGCGATGCACGCGTGCGTCGGGCGGCGGCGCGGATGGGGAAGAGGCGGCGGCGTGCACGTGCGTCGGGCGATGGCGGCGGCGCAGATAGGGAAGAAGGCAAGCAACTACACATGCCAAGCAGCTCCCATCTTCCCTCCTTCCACCACACCCACGCGTCGCCGCCGCCATAGCCGCCCGCGGCGCACGTACACTAGGTCCCCGACCGGCGGCTCCGTTGAGTTTACCAACCGTCGCCGGTTGTCGGATAGCTAGTCGATGTGGGTGAGGAGACGACAGATCTCGCCGGCGAGTAGGAGGAAGAAGTTGGGTTGGGGGTAATTCGGTCCCGAAAAATATTCTAGCATGTAGCCAGGAGTTGAAAGTGGCATTTTATCAAATGCATTTCACGGAGTAGCATTTAGGTGAAACCCATTCTTGACAATGGCACAATGTCAAATTTCTCTCGAGTGGGGAGGCGACAGGGCGGAGCTAACGAGTCACCGGTGGCCATGGGAGATTGGTGATTTCTCCGGAATGCTTGATTTTTTTTTCCGGGAGATGGTAGGGCTGCGGAACGGCGGATGCGAGGAAGGCCATGTGGCACAATTTTAGAGGAGGTAGTGACACAATCTATAATATTATTAAAGGAATAGAAAAATGAGCCTCCACATTCGATGTCTAGAAATTCTCACATTAATCAGAGAAAAAGAAAAAACAGAGTCCATATAGAAATACAATTTAGAAATAGCGGAAATGCGGAATTAAAAAATAAGAAATATTAGAAGAGGAGACTAGAGTCCATATAGAAATACAATTTAGAAATAGTTGAAATTCGGAATTAAAAAATAAGGAATATTATAAGAGGAGACTATAGTCCATATAGAAATACAATTAGGAAATAACTGAAATTCGGAATTAAAAATAAGAAATATTAGAAGTAGAGTATAGAGTCCATATAGAAATACACTTAGGAAATAACTGAAGTTTGGAATTAAAAATAAGGAATATTACAAGTAGAGTATAGAGTATATATAGAAATACAATTAGAAAATAATAAAAATTCGGAATTAAAAAATAAGGAATATTAGAAGTAGAGTATAGAGTCCATATAGGAATTTAAAACTAACTAAAATTTGAAATAAACATAATAAAACTAAAAGTAGAGTACGTTCGTTCTCATGGCATAAAAATTCTCACATAAATCGGAGAAAAAGAAAAAGCAGAGTCCATATAGTAATACAATTTAGAAATAGCTGAAATTGGGAATTAAAAAATAAAAAATATTAGAAGAGGAGACTAGAGTCCATATAGAAATTTTAGAAATAGTTGAAATTCGAAATTAAAAAATAAGAAATATTATAAGAGGAGACTAGAGTCCATATAGAAATACAATTATGAAATAACTGAAATTCGGAATTAAAAATAAGGAATATTAGAAGTAGAGTATAAAGTCCATATAGAAATACAATTAGGAAGTAACTGAAGTTCGGAATTAAAAATAAGGAATATTAGAGGTAGGGTATAGAGTCCATATAGAAATACAATTAGGAAATAACTGAAATTCGAAATTAAAAAATAAGAAATATTAGAAGTAGAGTATAGAGTCCATATAGAAATGCAATTAGAAAATAAAATAAATTTGGAATTAAAAATAAGGAATATTAGAAGTAGAGTATAGAGTCCATGTAGAAATACAATTAAGAAAAAAAAGGAATTCGGAATTAAAAAATAAGGAATATTAGAAGTAGAGTATAGAGTCCATATAGGAATTTAAAACTAACTAAAATTTGGAATAAACATAATAAAATTGAAAGTAGAGTTTAGAGTCCGTATAAAAATACAATTTACGAATAACTAAAATTCAAAATTAAGAAAAACAAGAGTTTAAAGTCAATATAGGAATACAATTTAGAAGTAACTGAAGTTCGAAATTAAAAATTGAAGAATATTAAAAGATGAGTTTAAAGTCCACATAGAAATACAATTAGAAATAATAAAAAGTCAGAAATAAAAATAAATAATATTGAAAGAAGAGCATAGAGTCTATATAGAAATACAATTTATTGAAAATTCGGAATTACAAAAAAGAAATATTAAAAGACAAGTCTAGAGTTCATATAGGAATATATATAATTTACAAATAACTAAAATTGATATTAAAAATAATTAATAACTAACACGTACATAAAATACAATATGAATATTACACATTAGTAGTTTTGTAAAGCTATTGCAAAATTTAAAATTATGTTGTCATTTTAATATATTTGAATAATATAATGAGAAAACATATATGCTATTATATGAGAGAAAATATAATAATGCTAGCCGCGCAATCTGCGTGGGCCACCATGCTAGTTTTTATCATGGTCATGACACATAGCCTGATAAAAAGCCAGGGCCTAGACCCTAAATCTATTATATCTATAAAGTAATAGAAAAATGAGCCTCCACGTTCGCTCTTAAGGCCTAGAAATTCCCACATTAATCAAAAAAATAAGAAAAAAAATAGAACTAGATTAGGATTAGTTAAAAACTGAAGAAAGAAAAAAAAAGGAAACTCTGAATCGGACAATCGGTAAAAAAAAAGAAGAAAAACCTAATCATACTACACACTGGAAACACAATTATAATACCTCCATATAATAGTAAACCGTTATAATTTCTTATAACGGTTATAATGACAGTACACATTGTTACCCACTCTAACTTATTAAAGGAATAGAAAAAGGAGTTTCCACGTTCACTCTCACGGCCTAGAAATTCTCATATTAATCAGAGAAAAAGAAAAACAGAGTCCATATAGAAATACAATTTAGAAATAGTTGAAATTCGGAATTAAAAAATAAGGAATATTGGAATAGGAGACTAGAGTCCATATGGAAATACAATTTATAAATAACTGAAATTCGAAATTAAAAAATAAGGAATATTAGAAGTAGAGTATAGAGTCCATATAGAAATACAATTAGGAGAAATAAGAGAAATTCGGAATTAAAAATAAGAAATATTAGAAGTAGGGTATAGAGTCCATATAGAAATACAATTAAGAAATAATAGAAATTCGGAATTAAAAATAAGGAATATTAGAAGTAGGGTATAGAGTACATATACGAATTTAAAACTAACTAAAATTCGGAATAAACATAATAAAATTAAAAGTAGAGTTTAGAGTCTGTATAAAAATACAATTTACAAATAACTAAAATTCAAAATTAGAAAAGAAACATGAGAAGAATAGTCTAAAGTCAATATAGGAATACAATTTAAAAGTAACTGAAATTCAGAGTCCACATAGAAATACAATTAAAAATAAAAAATATTAGAAGAAGAGCCTAGAGTCTACATAGAACAATTTACATATAACGAAAATTCAGAATTAAAAAAATATTGAAAGAGGCGTCTAGAGTCCATATAGGAATATAATTTACAAATAACTAAAATTTGATATTAAAATTAATTAATAACTAACACGTATATAAAATGCAATATGAATATTACACATTAGTAGTTTCGTAAAGTTAGTACAAAATTTAAAATTATGTTGACATTTTAATATATTTGAATAGTACATTGAGAAAA